TATATATATATATATATATATATATATATATATATATAGAGACATACTCTACCGGTCAAAAATTTGGGATCAGAATAATTTTTTATGTTTTTTTACAGGAGTTTCTTATGCTCATCAAGGCTGCATTTATTTGATCAAAAATACAGAAAACAATTTTATATTGTGAAATATTATTATGGTAATATAATATAATATAATAGTAAAATAAATTTTTTCTATTTTAATATACATTCAAATCTAATTGATTCCTGTGATCAAAGCTGAATTTTCAGCATCATTACTCCAGTCTTCAGTGTCACATGATCTTCAGAAATCATTCTAATATGCTGATTTATTATTAGAATTATCAATGTTGGCAACAGTTGTGCTGCCAAATATTTTTTTGGAAACTGTGATACTTTTTTCAGGATTCTTTGATGAATAAAAAGTTAAAAAGAAGAGCATTTATTTAAAATAGAAATCTTTTCTAACAATATACACTACCGTTCAAAAGTTTGGGGTCAGTAAATTTTTATTCTTTCTTTTTTTTCTCTTTTATTCAGCAAGGATGTGTTAAATTTTTAAGAAGCGATAGCAAAGATGTATATTGTTAAAAAAGATTTATATTTTGAATAAATGCTGTTCTTTTTAACTTTTTATTCATCAAAGAATCCTGAAAAAAAATTATTTAGCAGCACAACTGTTGATAATTCTAATAATAAATCAGCATATTAGAATGATTTCTGAAGGATCATGTGACACTTTATACTGGAGTAATGGCTGATGGAAATTCAGCTTTGCATCACAGAAATAAATTATATTTTAAAGGATATTAAAATAGAAACCATTATTTTATATTGTAATAACATTATGCAAGATTACAGTTTTTTTCCCTCTGTGTTTTTAATCAAATAAATGCATCCTTGATGAGCATTAAAAAAAACATTACAAGTCTTACTGATCCCAAACTTTTGACCGGTAGTGTATATATTATTTCAGCTTTCTTTCAATTACCAAAAATGTTTTTTTGAAAATGGATGATTAAAAGTATTACGTACACTCTAAGAAATGTCCCTAAAAACAGATCTGGGCTTATGCACCTAGGTTTTTGAGTGATCCTTGCCAAAATTATTAACAAATAATACTTTTTATCACTCAAAAACTGAGATGCATAAGCTCAGATGAATGCGGTCTACAATCAATCAGCTCCAAAAAGAAATACAAAACTTGTGCTAATTGAAAGGAAACAAGTTTGACAAAAAGATTGAATCGGTATAGCATAACAAGAGTTTTAAAAGGCCGGTCATTTTTGACTGGGAACACCAAATTAAGTAAAGGATTTTCAGCACAGCACAAGGGTTCAAGAAATATCTAGTTCTAGGAATGATTAGTTCAGAGACTAAATATGTTTTGAACCCAGTGACTAGTGCTTCCTCACAACCACTGATTGTGGCAGCCGAGGAGCTTGTATAAGACATCAGATTGGGGGTTGACGACGCTGTCGATCTCAGATTAAATACCCAGAGTAAGTAAATGTCATACCTGTTGTTGTGTCTGAGTGCGGCGTAGGCTCCGTGCTGTTGGTGATGTTAGTAGAGGACTGTGTCTGATCGCCGCCGGAGCTCGAGGTCATGTTGACATCAGTCACTCCGTTTCTTCTACGTGAGATGTGAGCCGCAGACGACACACAGAGATAATCACCTGAAGACAGGACAGAGACCACGTATGAATCAGAACTAGGGAAAATCTTGGCCTGTAACATAAATTATTCAAAGTAATCTGCATATTGAAATGAAAATGGGTATTATCATGAATTAAAAATGAGAGAATGTCTCTGCCAAATCTGAATCGGAGCTCTGTTCTGTCTTTAGTTATGTGGAAAAGTGTTAATAATTAATTCAGTCATTTAATTAAGCAACACTGGCATGTGTTTGGGGAGGAACTATCTGTCTGACTAATAATAAATGTGTTGAGGAAACCTGTCAAGTGGAATTCAGGATTTGAGCAACCCTTTAACTCAATTAATGAACTTTAAAGCATCGTTTTGTGCTACAGATATGAATGATACTTCAAATTATATGACTTGAGAAAAAATTCCACTGACTTGCATTGAAGGAGGGGCCTGAGCAAAAAGTTTGGGGTCAGTAATAATTTTTTTATGTTTTTGAAAGAAGACTTTTATGCTCACCAGGAGTGAACGCATTTGATGAAAAATACAGTAAAAACAGTAATATTGTGAAATATTATTACTATTTCAAAAAACGGTTTTCTATTGTAGTATATTGTAAAATGTAATTTATTCCTGTGATCAAAGCTGAATTTTCAGCATCATTACTCCAGTCTTTAGTGTCATATGATCCTTCAGAAATCATTCTGAGAGTATGCTGTGAATAGTTGCCAAAGCATTGTTATGAACAGTTTCAGAATATCGGTTATCAGTCATAACTAAAAATATAATCATTAGTTGTTGATGTTGGCTAAGATCTGTACATTATAATCTTACTCGAGAGACTTCCTTAAACATTGAGCTATTATAGGATCCCTAATCTCTCGCTCGCTTGCTCGTTCTCACACACGCTTGTGTTTGTGGGTCATTACCCAGAATCCCAAGGGAGGTTTGTTAAGGGTTTTGCGCACCACACCCTGCCACTTCACAAGAGTTCTTTTGGCTGAGCTCCTCAATAACGACCCTGTTGAGCTACCGCCGCCACACGGCACAAACCCCACCGAACCCGCACGCAACGGAACTATACCACCAGTCCGGAGGATATTTTGGGAGGCTGATTCAGAGCTTGATTCAGCAGTTTTCTTTTCTTTGGAAAAATGCATCATTCCGCAGCTTGAGCCGCATTGAACAGAACATTAATGATGATGCTTCAAGAAGACAGTCTATGGGCTTTTCATACTCAGATTATGCAGCATTTGTGGACATTAGTGCTGGGCGGTATACCGGTTCATACCGAATACCGGTGTTTATTTTTGTTATGATATGATTTTTTTTTTATATGATATGACCCTTTTAGCGGCTTTTTTTCCATAGAATATTCATACTGACAAACCTAGCAGAGAAGCAGCGCATTCAGTTTGCCGCAACGCAGCCGACTCGTCAATAAATGAGTACAAAACAGCGTTTCCTAGCACCTGTCGCTTACTGATTGTTTGGAATTATAAATATGAGCGTAGTTCATCTGTTAATATCACATGCACTTTTTTGTTTGTTGTTTTTTTTAGTTTGTTACTCAGACGCAGGCAGTGCGCTGCATGAGACAAAAAAGTAATCTAGCCAAAACAACCGCATAGCCGCTCTTTAGTGTAGATGCATGTTGCTTTTATCAGACGATGCCGCGATTATAAATGAGAGTGACTCCTGGTTAACATTTTTTGACAACATTCACTCATCATGACAGTAAAATAGGGCATTCTACGTCAATATATTGCAGTATTTCCTCTGTCAATCAGTAGAAAATATGGTTAACACCCGGTTGTGCATGAAAAAGAAAATACCGTCATGTACCGTGAAACCGGTATAATTTGGGAAAATACCGTGATATAAATTTTTGGTCATACCGACCAGCACTAGTAGACATTATGCCACAAATGCTGCACAAATTAAACCTGGAACATTCCTTTAAAAACTAAACACAATGTGACTTACAAGCAACGATCTGATGCATCTAAATAACTTTCCATAATAGCAACTTAAACTTCTTCGAAATAAAATTGGTGTACACTGAAAACAAAATTGATGGTGAAACCATTTTCATTCAGAAATTGCTCGTATATTTCACAAATAATAACAAAGAAACAAATAACACATGCAATTAAATGTAAAAACACTCCAATAATCAGTCGTGGGCCCAGTGTCTCACCTGGTTGCCCGTTGATGGCAACATTGCTCAAAAAGTTGCACCGTGTATCATAATATTCACCCAGTCGTGTTTCTCACCTGCTCTCCTGTTTCTCACATCTACTCACAGGTTTTCTCACCTCTCATCTATCTGCAAATCTCATCTTTATGCAAAGCTTTTAATTTGATATGAAATTGTGTCTGTGGAGCTCATAACTGCGGGTTCACTAAAAAAAGATTTTTCAAAGGTTATTGGAGTATGTTTTACAAGAAACTGCTATTTTAGTTCAAAATGTCATGTTTAGTCAAATGTCTCATTGCCGTTTCTTTGAAATTTACCAGCAGTTTCTGAGTGAAAATGGTTTCGATGTAAATCCTACACCAAATTTTTTTTTTTTCAGTGTAGAACATCTCCATGGAGGTGATGCTTCTGTTTCAAATGTATCCTTTTATATTATTGCAGTCATTCATATGTTAAATTATTTGTATTGTTTAAATAATTTAATGCGTTAAATGATAGGGTTAACTATTGGAAATATATTAGAAGACAATCATTTACTTTAAAATAAAGTGCACTTATGAATTGGGAAAAAGGAATAAAAGTAAACGGGGCTTTTGTACAAGATGTAAAAATAGAAGAGTTGAAAAAGTTTCCAGATGAAAGTGAGAGGAACAGGACGTCAGCATGCAAAGATGACAAGCAACAGAAACGCTCTAAAAATACCCCACGGTTGTTCAGCAGCGTGTCCTGAACAATCTCGCTCTCGCTCAGTACATCAGAGAACTTTACAGGCCGTTCTTAACTTTCCAAAACAGGCCTTCTAGCACCGCTGCATGACTCCTAATTACAAACACTGGCTAAGAAATGAAAGCATTCTGGGATTGAGAGACAGTATGTGTGGTTTGACAGCATTCCCATAATGCTCTCTGTGCCAGTGCTGGGATAGAGAGAGATGAATGCCTTGAATTTCCACCCTCATATGAACATAAACGTGTGTGAACACATACATGTTTGCTGATGTAAATAAATCAGAATTACATTTTTCATAAAGCTGGTCTTTACAGTCAGAAGTACTGAACACAAAACTGAATACAAGTAAACTGCCAAATTGTTTAAACTGATGTCCTATAAAATGCAAACATAAGACTATTTTTTCATAAAGTTCAATTAAAAACAAGCTTATGTTTGAGTTAATATGATTAGTTTTACAGTGCAGTATCCACTTTTAGGCTATAGTTCGAGTTCAGCATGAGAACAGAGTCTTTTCACAGCAAGATACAAGGCTGTGTCTCAAAACATAGTGAGCTCCCTAACTAGAAAGCGTTTTCGAGCAACCAAAATACATTAAGCAGTTTTTGGGCATCTATAAAATCATGAAAGACGAAGTGATTTGCACTCCTAAATGTAATTTCTGGGCATCATAGGTAGTCCACATGGTGCCTAGGTAGGCAGTTTGCTAGGTTTTGAAACACAACCATTGTTTGACTGCACGGATACGCGTGGCAGCAGAAACAAACTGAGAACAGACATGGTGTCTGAAAAATATTTCACAATGGCCATTACTGTAAGTAGATAGATAGATATATGCTTTTTTTTTTTTACCTGTAATGAAAGAACAGTAGAAGAGCACCATCGCACAAAACGCAATATTTCCACATCTGCCCATATCCTTCATATGACAAAAGATAAACACTAACTTAAACCTAAAATAAAGCTAAAATAGTCGTTCTTTCTTTCCTGCCTCAGACGTAAAAACCGACACAGAAGTCCAGTGTGTGTGTAACAAATGCCTCTGTGTCGACGGACGGAGATGAATTTAGATGCCAGTGTGTTTCTCACGGCGTGTCAGATGATCAGAAGTGTCTGGAAGAGTTCATTCACAGCGGATCCAAAGAGTTGAGATCCGCTGCGCGCTCTAGTCTGACGCGGTGGGCGGGGCGCAGCGAAGGGCGCACACAACAGCTGGATGGGGATTAGCTCAAGCCGCAACCTTCCGGTCTCTCTCTGAAACCAACACGGAAGTGACTAAAACTGCAATTCATCTACTGGCCAAAAAGGAGTCAGTTCCATAGACTCCCCATGTTAAAGGGGTCATATGATGTGATTTCAATTTTTCCTTTCTCTTTGGAGTGTTACAAGCTCTTGGTGCATAAAGAAGATCTGTAAAGTTGCAAAGACTAAAGTCTCAAATCCAAAGAGATATTCTTTATAAAATTAAGGGTCAGCTCACTATGTGGGAAGATTTTGATTGGCGTAACTTTTATTCTCGCTGTAGTATTGTTGTTGCCGCCGCCACCGCCATGTCGTGAAGGCGCTGTGTGTTTCGTTGTGAAAGCGAAACTACTTTGTTTGGCCTTCCAAAAGAGGACGATATTCTTCTGTTTTGAAGCGGAGTCCAGCCCGGGGTCGTCAGATGTGGTTGCCGCAAGCCCGCCGGCCGCGCCGTTCTCAAGCCGGCCTCTGCTCACTCTAGCCCGCCGTGTGTGACGCTGTGTTTCGTTGTGAAAGCGAAACTACTTTGTTTGGCCTTCCAAAAGAGGACGATATTCTTCTGTTTTGAAGCGGAGTCCAGCCCGGGGTCGTCAGATGTGGTTGCCGCAAGCCCGCCGGCCGCGCCGTTCTCAAGCCGGCCTCTGCTCACTCTAGCCCGCCGTGTGTGACGCTGTGTTTCGTTGTGAAAGCGAAACTACTTTGTTTGGTCTTCCAAAAGAGGACACGACTAGAAATCAGTGGTTAAGTTGTATTTACAACACTGTTCCAGAACAGTTCAACCCAAATATTCAGATGTGTGCAGCACATTTTATGGAGGACTGTTTCCTGATCCTGGTAGACTACAATGCCGGCTGTTCTGACTCACAGCCTGTAAGTATGTTTTTTTATATTTAAAGAATTTGCCACTGACGATTCAAATGCGAGTTTTGAGCAGTGTAGAGTAACGCTGCTTGTTTGTCATTTCTCATTTCTCCGATCATAAATGCAGACATGATTTTATGTTTACGCGGCGCGATGCAATGCGTAGAAAGACAGTATAAGGGGCCATTCACATACCGCGTTTTTTGCGCGCTCAAGTTCGTTATTTCAAATGTAGACGCGTGTATATTTTCATTAGTTGAAAACATTTCAACTTTTCAGAATGCCGCAATCGCACTGCGGGTCATGTGACAAAAACCAACCAACCAAGATGAAGGAACAGCTGATCATAGCTGTACAGGATAGACATTTTTGAAATAAATTTAGTAGCAGAGCTACTGCAAGCGATTTTTAGTGCTGCAAATCCATTTATTCTTTGCTGAAACTTCCGCTCTTCATGAAGTGTGCAGGTCATGGTTGCTTAGCAACGGCAGATGCCTCTGGAGCAGCGCCCGAACGCTTTGGGGGAAAAGCAGAAAGCGCCACACCTAGCGTTTTCCACGTGTTTTTAGGTGCTATATGTGAACGGCCCCTAAGTCATTATAATCCCCAATTATGTCCCCACTGGATGCAACAAATGCCTCATTTGTAATGGGTTTTACTG